GCAACCCCCTCACGGGAGCGGGCGGCCCCGCCACCCCACAGCCGGGAACGTTCTGGAAGGAGCAGCGGGGGGGCGCCGCCAGGGGGCGCCGCCAGCGCTCGGGGACGTTCTCAGAGGGGCAGGGCGGCGGCGGCGGCCGCTAGGGGGTGTCGCGGGCGTTCGGGAAGGTTCTGGAACGTTCGGGGGCGCTTTGGAGGGGTGCGTGGCCGTTGCAGGGGGACTGGGGGACGTTCTGGAAGGCAGAGGAACATGCCGAGCGGGAGGACGCTGCTGGGGAACGGCAGTTTTCCTCCGCTGGGAGGTGGCAGGATGCCCTGCGGCAGCCGAGGTAACGGTTTTTGCACACTCTGCCCTTTCTCCGCTTGGAGGAGATCCCGAGTTGGAGGCTCTACTCGGCACTGTGGCGGGCAGCAACGAGCTGAGCTGCATCCTGCTGGGGAGAGAACCCGCCTCCTGGCTGGGAGCAGGGCAGGTGCCCTTGCCACCTCTCTGTACCTCGGGGTGCTCCTTGCCGTGAGTGCATTCGCGAGTGGGTGTAAATAGTGCTGCAGCAAATGCTGCTTTGGCAGTTCATGCCAGTAATTATCAGCACTAGTGCACTTAGGAAGATGGTGAAGCATTTCCCATGCTTATTTCTTCTGAGAATCTCTTTCATTTTAAGTACATATATATATTTTCTGAGAAGTTAGGTGTTTATAGCCTGTTGAAAGCTTAGCTCTGCTCCTGCTTTGTTAGCCCTTTTATTGCCTTAGTTGTGCCTAGGCCATGGGGTTAGCGATTCCCTATTTGCCGTTTCTGCTGGCAGGAGCTGTGTGGTAGCAAGTGGAGCCATGAGCCAAGGAAGGGCCCTGCCCGGCGAGGTCCTGTCCAAACCTGCCCTGTGCTCCGGGGCTGTTTTCCTGCAGGAAATGCCGGAGTGTCAATAGCAATTGTCAACTAAAGGGTGAGCCCTGGACAGGAGGTTAGATATGTGCACACCGCAGACGTGGAGAATATTTGGAATAAGAGACTTCGGAATTGTGTGTTCGGTCTGTGCTTCTCCGGGCTAAGTGGCAGCAGCTAGGCTCTGTTAAATAATGAGGTTAAGGCTTACTGTATATTGGATTGTGTCACTGTTTGCACCTGAATTACAATGTCTGGTGTGTCTGCACAAGGTAATTAAAGTTAAGTCCAAGAAGTAAAGCTTTTCTGATCTCTTGGTAATCCTCAAATCACTCAGCTGTCTCGGAATCCAGTTATTTGACCAGCCTTACTATGTGCTGCAGAGGATGTTAGCCGGGGAGCTTTAGAGTGAGCTTATGAAAGCTCCTATCCTTATTGACAGAGGGGATGTGAATTCAAGCCAATTTATGCAAATTATTGTAGCAAAATACAAAACAGCTATTTTGGATGCCTCCAAGGTTCCTACTGAGCGTGTTGCAGAGTCCTCAGAGGCAGCAGTGTTGGTATAAAATACGATGCCAGAAATAAAACTGGCTCTGTGTCCGTGCGAGGTGCTTGTTGCACCTCTCTGCTGTTTTCTGCTGTTTTGTCGTGTGAGCCTGGGTGGATGGGAAGCATTTGGCAGCAGAGTAACAAGTCTCTGGAAGTGTTACTTCTCTCTATTAATAAGAAGCCTTTCTGCTTCTAAGCTGTCAACTGAGTTACGAGAAATAATTTACATATGCAGTAACTCCAGTCAAGGTGAATTTTGAATTGTTAGACTTCGTACTATTTTTTTTTCCTGAAGGTATGTTTTACTCTCAAAATTAGTCCAAATATGTAAGCTTTAAATAAATACCATCAGCCTCTTGCACCATGTTCAGAGGCTCCATTTCTACAATTTCAGGTATTCACCAAAGGAGGGAACCATTTCTAAGATTCTCCAGACTGGTGGCTTTCCCATTCCGGTGACAATACCTGATCGGCCTGTGGGTAGGTGGCCTGACAGTGGAGCACTGAAGATCTTAATCCATCTAACCAAAGTGGAAGGGAGAAACTGGACATCTGTTGGAGTTTTCTAGTGACAGAGACTTGGAGGATGTCACAGGAAAGTAATGTCAGGTGGACATTTGAGGCAGCCTGTGTACAGCGTAGGAAACATGTCACTGAGATATGGAAAGATTTTCCTGATGTTGCCTTGAGCTTGGCCCTGGGACCTTGCGTGATTGGACTTCATAACGTGCAGCATTGTGTGCTGTACATTTGAATAAGGAGAGTGATTCTTCCTATTAACATTGCAAGTAAAGTTGTTTCATATTCACATAGATATGTTTAGCATTTTCCAGCATGGTCTTCTGCCATTCTGCAGTATATTACAATGTTCTCAATACCTTCTTTTTTTTTCTATTCTTCTCTCTTACAAAAAATGTTACCTTTTTGGCTATACACTAACAGACTGTGAACAAAGACACTTTTCTTTTTAACTGAATAGGAAGTTTATGGTTTATCAACTTTGAAGAAATGCCGATTCTTTTAAAGAAATATGGTATTCTGTCTTTCTATATGTGTTTGTTGGCTTTTGCAGGCTAAACTGCTGCTGCTCACTTGGAGATATAGGCAGTGTTTCTCATGTGTTTGTGGCATGTTAGAGTTCCATTTGTTTCTTGTTTAGTTATGCGATGGTTGACTGATTTTTTTATAACATAATTCCTCTGTTTGGTGCAGAGACCACTATTACAGCAATGTTAGCATTCTTTACTGCATTAAAAAATAAGAGGTGATCTCAGATTTGTATTGAGCTGTCTTCAAAAGATAGTGTGTGCTGAAAAATCAAGAGGTGAGTTTTAAAAAAGAAAATACTAGGTGCCCTGTTGCTTTAAATTTGAATAAGTGGGAATAGGAACATCACATGTATATTTTCTAACATTTTTCACATTTTACTGCTTTTTCTGCAGTCTTTAGTATTTTCATCGTCTACAAAGTGCACTAATTTCCATGGCTCCTATATCTTGTGAATCCTTTAACTCTAGTAGATCTTGCACTCGCTTTTGGTAATGCTTTATTCTGTTTGAAGTATGGCACTTTCCAAGGGCTTGGGCTGTATTCCTTGCTTGTGGAATATGACCTTGCTCTCTCATGGGAAAGATCTGCTTCTCTGTGCAGCAGCCTTGGTGAGACTACCAATGAACATTTTCAAAATTGAGAGTGGGAACTGCTTTAGTGCTGCCTCCTTAAATAGCTCCCCTAGATCTATTTCTCAACGCAAGGCTGTTGAGCCCCACAGACTGTGTTGACAGAGCAATTCTCTCAGTGCGTCACTGAACGCCTGAGGAACTCGGTTCAAAGGATAAGTCACCAGGTATAGTTTGCCTCACAATAAATTCTTATCCAACAACAATCCTCGCTTGCCTTTATTACACAGAATGTATTCCAAGAAATAATGAAATTACTTTTAATTTAACAAAAAAGCTGAACTTGGCTACTTTAAATTTACGACATGCAGGATCATTCAATTAAGAAATTCAAAATCCTTGCTACATTCTGTTAGGAAAGTACACAATGGAGTTTATCAAATGGCTTCGAGTAAAGGCAGTAGTTGGTGGAATGTGCAGCAGGATCTAAAACTGTTATCAACAAGGCAAAAAACCCCACAATATAGAATGGTTTGGCAGTTGTAAATTAAAAGCCTACTCCTAGCCCAGATGTTATTTTAAGAGAAAGTAGCACAGAATTTTGCAGGAAATATTGTAGAATTGTCATTGAATATTGATAAAGAAAGAAAGCAATATAGTAGAAATTATAAAGAGAGGAAAAATTAGTGTATTTTTGATTTTTTTTTTTTTTTTTAGTAAGAGCTGCAAAGACAAGCAGACAATAGCCCGTTAAAATGTTCTTGAAGGTATTCCTGACTGTTAGCCCATAAGGATAAAAGATTTGAAGTTTTATTCCTTCTTTTCCTTCCCTTACGAAGTAGAGATTAATATAATCCATTCTCTCAGCAACAAAACAACCTTTTCTTGCTTTCATAATCAGGTATGAAGGAATTTAGTCATTTTGTTGTTTGCTGGAAGACTGCTTGAATGGTTAGAGAAATTCAGTGGAGTGTCTTAAATTACTAACAGAAAAGGAATGTTGAAACCTTCGTAGAGGACGCTTTCTCCCCAAAGAGTGACAGTATTTGTTAAGCAAATACAGACCAAAACTAGAGTTTGGTTAATAAAATCAATCCTTTCCTCTAGTTACTCAGACATTAGTTTTTTTTGTTGTCGTTGTTTGTTTTGTTTTGTTTTTTAAATGGAATAAGTGGTTGTTTATCTGTAAGAACTTCTATAGAAGTAATGAAAGAAAAAGTCTTTTTCATTTGCTGGAAAAAAAGGCCAAGACATAAACCTGTTTTTAATCGCTTGCAAACTGCCTTTGCACAGCATTTATGGGGCATTTTAAAACATCAAAGGAATTTTAAGAAGTCAAATTCAAGGGAGGTCCACAAGTAAAACATTCTTTTTTTATACTGATTAACTTTTTTTTCCATAGATTCATGCTATGGCATTTTTATTGCAAGTAAATGTCTGTGAAGGCTCACAGTAAGGATAGTAGTTGGTGAAATATATAGTGGGAGCAATCAGATAGTGCTGTCAATGAAAACAAACATTCACAATATGGGATGTATATTCCCTTTTTCCTTGATCTTCACATGCCCACTGTTTGTATTTAGTGAAACTTCAGCTGACATCCATGAATATGTGCCTTTGCCTTTGAACTCAGTCTTGTTTATAAGGTGGAGGCATAGATTAAAGATGATGTTTTGCTGAACTTTCATAGAAAAAAGAAAGATCTTGGAGATTGTCTATTACATGAAAAAGAGCACTCAGACATTTTTATCAGAGAAGGAAAAAAACAACTGGAATGAAGAAAGAGATTACAAAAGTAAAGCAGATGTGTAGTATCACCTATCTGTCAAATGCCTTGCCAAGTTGCCTCAGACCTGGAGCAGTTTCCAGATGGCACAAGCAATGTGCTTTCGAAAAGTATGCCTCTCATGCTTTCCTGTTGTTCCCTGGACAGCGAGACAAGCTTCACACCTGGCTCCAGGAAGGTGACATGTCTTTCATCAAAGATCTGGAAGCACTGTTGGCCGTCCAAGGTTCTGCCTCCAAGCCTTCATACCTCTTTGCAAAGGTGTGTGCAGGTATGTCCCTGTGTCCTGCTGTAGTAACTATAGTCACTTTCCAAGCAATGTATTGGCACTGCATGCTGCTTGGGAGAGGCAGACCTATTTTTTCATGATATCCAGGAGCAGATGGTTACTTGAGAAGTGATCTAAAGTTGCAGGGTAATAATTGGCCTTCATATACCCTCAGAAATTTTGAGTAATACTGTGTAAGATCTTATGTGAAGCCTTTTTATTTGAACACTTGAATGTTGCAGGCCTGAAAAGCTGAAGACTGCTGTGCTATACAGTGCAGGCACTCTCTTACTGCTTATGCATACGTTCACTCAGATGAGCTCTCCTGCGAGTTGCCCCTTCAAGGTCAAATATGCTGCTAGTATGATAGTTACCTGTATGCATTTGGAGGAAAATATTTTAGTAGATTCTGCAGCTGTTGCTGAATTCAGAGTGGCACAGTACCTATAAAAAGAATTCAGGTCTCATTACTTTCTGTAGATGTTTGTAATAACCATTCAACAATACTTAAGCAAAGATATGATGAGTATCCCCTCCTAGATGTATTATGTGAATATTAAAATTACAGCAGAGAAAGAAGCATGAGAAAGAAGAAAATAGGTTATTTCAGTTGATAAAAGTATTAAGATATTTCTGTATCTATATGCCTGCCTTGTGTATCTTACCTCACATGCACAAATGAAAACATCCAGTAGAACTACACTTTAAATTATTGTTCAGAATATCAAACTAGTCATATATTTTTTTAAGTAATTAATAGGGCATAGCAGTGCTCTGTGGGAGTTGTAAGCATTCTCCTGAAATACTGCACATCAGTATTGGATGTTGATCAAATTAGATTGCCCTGATAGATGAAGAGGCATTTGTCAGGAGAGACAAACTCTTCGAAGGACAGATTGTGAAGTATGTGTTTTCTCAGTAGGCTGGAAAAATGTCAGACTGGCACAGCCACTAATCAGTCTATGCCATGCCTAAGGGTATGATTCTTTCTGTTGTCATTCTCTTAAAACAATGAGTCGTTGACAGACTGCAAACAGAGTAAACGTGCTAAATGCTAAGGGCCATGTTTGCTCCAAGTGTTAAATGCAGTTCCAATAAAGAGAATTGTTAAGGCTGAAAGGTATTGTTCAACGTGAGGAGAAAAAACTTGACCTATATTTAGGATGAAAACTGAAAAATTCTGGCAAGTAATGTCTAGGTCAATGTTAAACAATCTCTCACAACAAAGCAGTAAGCCATACCACCTTGCCTGGCATTGTGACTAACACAGTTGTGATGCAGCTTTCCTTTGTTGCCACTTGCATCCTAAGTTGAAGCTTCATTTCCTCATCCCAATGGCAAAAGCAAATAGTCTACAAGAAAAATAAAAGTGTATTTTTGTGTCACAGGTTAGCTGGATTCGTGTCCCTGGACAGTGAGATGATTTGAACAAATTCTATGACTTCAGTGTCTCTTTTTTTTTTTTTTTTTTTTTTTTTTTTTTTTTTTTTATCCAGAATAACAAAGCACAAGAATAGTGTAACCAGGTGTATGTACAGAAAATGAGCAGAAAAAAGCCCTCATTCTCTGGACTATCAGACCAAAGTAACAGTTGTCATGTTCCAAGCCATTCATCTTAGATTGCATCAAGCTGTAGATCTGGCAGAGAAAAAGAATAGCCTCTCCTAAAAGGTGACAGTTTCTGTGGAGCGCCTTGAAATAGAGAAGGGTAAAATCCCTCTGTGAGGGATTTTGTGATTCTGTTTTTTGGTTGGATAAAGCACAATCAGAGGTGTGTACGAGCATACATAAAATCAAGTATACAAAATAGAGCAGCTACCAACTCACCGTTCAGCTTTGAACGTGTCATCAGTCTCATGCCTTGCAGAGTCCTACAGTGGCATTTGTTCCATTTCAGTGATTGCGTCCAGGTCGGGAAGCATGACACTGGTCTCATGCCACTTCTTTTTGTAGAAAGGGAACTTAGTATTGGCCTCTTAGCATCTTTTCTTGCTTTACTTAATTTGGCTAAAAGGTGCAATATAAACATAATGAACAGTGTTCTTCCCCTTACCTGAAAGTGCTCTTGCTACTTCTGCTTTCTTGGATTTTTTTTGTGTGCTCTCTGACCTTGTTTTCACCTCATGTTCCTATTTTTTTTTCTCTGATTCACTGAAGCAAGCAATGCAAAACAGATCAAGGGTCAGATTTAACCCTGAAATTATTTGAACTTAAATTTTAATGGATTTGTAATTAGACCATGTATCCCTGTCACAATGGGCAGTCTGGGAGTTTGCCAGGATTTACAAAGGGATTTAGTGCCTTCTAAGAGTTTTGAAGCCTACTAAATTCCCTAAGAGGTTTTAGAGATACCACCTAATTAGGTATTAGGTAAGATTGCAACAAGGCTGTCTCTAAATACACAGAAAAATTGAGAAATAAAAAGTAGAAATGTTTTATTTCTTGTAAAACACAGAAAAATATCTTTTTATTTAAAACACCTTTGAAATTTAAAGTGTGAAAATAGATTTTCAAAATTGTCTTGGTGGTGAAACTTAAATGATATAAATTGTATGATGCATATTTTCTCTTAGAATTTGCATATATAATAAATATTAAAACACTAACCATGTACTGGCTATATGGATCATACTGTAGGTATATATAAACACTAGTTTCTGATCCTGGAATACATAATTGCATTAAAAAAGGTGCCCATCAAAAAAACTCACTTTTTAGGTCTTCCAATTAAATTTTTATCTGAGACGGGAGAAGGGATGGGGGAAAATAAAGACAAAAACCAAATTGTCAGTTCTGTCATTGGCGCAAAATACTGCTTTTTTTTTTTTCTAGGACAGAGATGTCCAAACCATGACTAGAATGATTCTTCTTTCAGTGATTGTCCTGTTAAAAGATGATAGGAGATTCCACAAAGGGAGTGTAAACCTTTTCAAATTTGAGTTGATCGAATCTATTTTTGGGTAAGCAGTTTGTCTGATCTTGATCTAGACTCAAATCCAAATTTTGCTACATATATTTAATTTACAGTTTTACAAATTGTAAAGTGTACCCGCTTCTCGGTAGTTTGGGTCCATACTTTTAACTCATGTCATTATCCTTCTGAGTCCATCTTTTTGGTGCTAAGTCTCTGTTCCATTCTATTGAGTGGTCAGGTCTTGAAGCTGCAGTGAATTTAAGTGAGTCTTATTTGCCTTAAGAATATCAATTTGGCTGTTTCGTTTGTTCGGTACCTTTCTTATTTCTCCATTACTTGGTGGGTGGTATCCTCTCAATCCTACTAAAAGATAGGTGCTTCTAAAAATGGGCCAGTGGGGTAAACCGAAAAATACTGCAGGCTGCCTTGTGCCCAAATATCTTGCTGTCTGTCTACGTAAAGAGGTACAAGGAAGGTTCTTGTTCTTATTTACACAACTTCTGCGTAGTTCTGTTACCTTCAGTTGAAGTAAGCTCATCCAGCTTAACAGTATGGAGTTTGGCTCTCTTTAAATAGCAGCAGCAGTTGATAGTTCATTGTGTCATACTGTGAATTCTTAAAATATACTGAGATCTATCAATCTGAAGAGTTTCTGGAAAATAAAATGGCAGTTTAAACATCAAGCACAAATTGTCCCTTCCTCTTTCTTCACTGAATAAGCTTTTGAAAAGCCAAGAGCTGCTGCAGAGATAACAAGGACTGAAGAATTTAGAGCAGGTGGTACCAACTGTGCAAGTAAAGCTTCCAGCCAAAATAATCTGGGAGCCAGCTGTGGAGAAGCCTCGGGGGTCAGAGAGCCACTCGGCGGAAGTGAGAATAGAGGATCTGGCTCAAGTACCAAGCCCTCTCCAGAAGTGTGTTGTTATTCTCTCTCAGTGAGAAAACCTCAGGGAATGCCGTGTCAAAATTAAACAAAAAATCCTACTTTGTGGACCCGTTAAATTTATTCCTTTCCTATAGGAAGAGGAAGAGCAAATATCAGATGGTGAAGAATGTATCAGATGGTGAAGGAGACCAGGGGTAGCATAAAAGAGACACTTCCATCAGTGTCTCTATTATGTTCCTTATAAAGTAATTATTCCTCTGAGTATTGCACCCTGAGAAGAACATAGTAACTCTTGCAGATCTTCTACATTACATAAGTCCAGAAAATGTCATGGGTTTTGTTCTGTCCAAACCCACTGTCAGACCTTCCTCCAAAACTCTGAACTACCCTACTTACGTCAGTCTTCCATCATAGGACCTGTTTTCTAGATCTTTATCAGACACTTTCTCATTTCTCTGCATTTTATAATTGCTTTCTTTAAGGTTAAATTGTAATTCTAGAGTGGTATGAAAGCTCTGAATAATAAATACTGGTTTGAGTAATCAAAACCAACTCAGAATTTGTATATATGATAACAAAAAAAGATACCTGTAAATTGTGAAAACCTGGTGAATTGATGGAGTTTAGAGAAATGTTTAGATCTTCTGACAATAGCTAGTAGTGTCTTGATAAAATAGCTATCAGTATATAAATGAAAACTTTATTTTTCAGTCTTTTTTACAGGTTTGGCGATTTTTCAAAAGGTTCTTGTAGGGGAAGAATTATGACTAAAATTGAGTTTAGATGGCGTAATAAATAATCCCTTCCACAGCAGCTGTGTGTTGACACAATTTATTCAGCAGTGTTGTTAACATGCAGGTAAGTTCACAGTTACAAAACAATGCGAGTCTTCACTAGTGCAAGTTGTCTTCACAGATAACTTGTCTTCGTTTGTCTTTCCTGTGTGTGTATTATAGGATTCTGAATCTCTCTACAGCACTTCAGCATTGCTGAAACTTTCCAAGAAACACTTCCTATAGCTAATCTTCCCTGCTTTTTTGGTATAGGGATAGTGTATCTCTCCAGCAGCCTTTTCTTTCTGTGAATAATCTCAAAAAAGCACAAACATTGAAAGAATCTGCCAGAAGATACTACAGAAGATACTATGCTACGCTTGCCTTTCTAGAAAATGTGACATAAGATGGCCCAGGCAGCACAGACAGCCTAGCTAGCGTGCAAATTTGTTCACAATGAACTCACATTGTTAGTGGTAATAAAAGCTAGGGAATCGCTGGAAGCCGTGCTCGTTGAGTTTGTGAGCAGCAGACAGTCCTTCTTTGGTGCCTGGTTGATGTTGTAGCCAGTGGTGCCAAATGTGTCTTTCAGGTGAACAACGTAGTTGAGATGTTGTACAGAGCAGTTACCTTGAGCAGGAGCTCCTGGGCTTCAGGGTCGGCTTGTCAGGAAGGGTTCCCCTGAGGTGTGCTGGGCCTCGTCAGGAAGCGTCATCCGTACGTTCACCCGATCTTGGCCATCCTCATGGCCTCGCACACTGTGTCTGTCCGATGTGTATTATAATTTGTTCCTAAGCAGATTTTTTTGAAATCACTCTTTTTATGCAAGCATTTATTGACAGTGTTCAGTAAATATATTGCATTACTTTAAACTGGTTATTTTATGTTTGGAAGGAACAATTCAAACTACATGATATCCCATATTCTTTGTCTTTCACTGACTGGATGCTCTAATGTTTATAAGTTGCATCTGTTTTTACCTGAGACAAAATGAACTGGTCCACAGAATACATTAGTAATCTTAGTTACAGAGAGGAAATCACTTTCAATGTATACGCAATACTCAATTTAAGATGGCAGAGCAAAAGCAGAATTTCAAGGGAGTATTTGTAATTACTTTTTCCTGCCTTTTCCTTATCTACAATGTTCTGTGAAATGAGAACATTGGACACTGGCATGTCCTGCTGCGTCTTGGGTTCCTTAACTTGAGGCATCTTGGTATCGTCCTGGTTGATGTGGAATGGTGGCAATAATGATTAACATTGTTAATGTCAGATCACATTAGATCAGTTTCTCATATTTTCCATGGTAATGTCATTTTTACCACAGTTTTCTCAACTACTTTTTATTCACTGCATGATTTTTTTAATCTACAGGTTCAAAAATATCTCTCAAAAAATAATACTGAAGCCTGTCAGTCTCCAGCAGTTTAGTGAAATCTGTCATTTTAGAAATGAGTTCACATATGCCCTGTCCTCGAAATGTAATAGCTCGGATGCCGAATGCAGTACCTGTCAACTTTAATAGAAGTCTTTCCATTGACTTTGTTGAAGCCTTCAAATTGGGTTTATGCTAACAGGTATGGTTTAAAAAAAAAAAAAAAGTGAATATGGATTTTGATAAGGATAATCTCCTTACTAAATATTATACTTATTTTCAAATACAAAAATATATGATCTTATTTCAGATTGCAGATATTATTTGATCTTTATGCCTAGAAAAAAAGACTCTTTTCCCCGGGGGGAGGATTACAGTAAAAATACAAGTAAAGGAAGAGCATCAGAGATATCACATAAAATATGTGATACAGCGAACAGTCAGGAGAGCTTTCTTTGCTGTATATGTTCATTGAGTGGAGTTAGGGGGGAAGAATGACTTGCGGGGCAGTGAAGGAGAAAGGAGCCCTTAGGAGGGGTATGATCCCCTGGATTTTAGAGGATCCTGCCAGAGGAGGGACTTGAAAGACAGTTAGAGTCTAGGTAGATTTTATCAGAGGCTGTTCTGTAACATGGAAGCAGTGCAGAAGAAAGCACGAGGATCAGAGTGCTACAGAATGTGGTGGGAGGTAATTAACCAGCTGACAAAGTGTTAAAGACAAAATTAATGAGGTAATAAATGAAAGGATGATGTGTCTTAAAAGATCAGCTAAATAGAATGAGATTGAATTTTGAAGTATCAGAAAGAAAAGACTGAAGTGTATGCTGAGATCATCTTTTTTTTTTTTTTTCTGATGAACTTGTACTCAGTGGAAAACATGGGTGGCATTCAGATTGAAGATATAGTCCTTTGGTGTGTGTTTATTTTTTTTACAGTAGAAAGAAACTGCAATAAAGTTTAAAATCTTCTAGGAGGTTCTAACATAGAACCTAAAATAGAATATTTATGCAATGATGATTTTTTTGTTTCTGGGTGCCATTTTAGATGAATTTTAGCATACTAGATTTTAGAATTATCCCCTGCTGGAAAAATCAATATTTCCAGTTCGTGCTTTTAGTGTTTCCTAAAAAAAAAATTTTTTTTGGTCACCTAGTGGCAGCTCTAGTGCATACTGCCAGTTTTCTAGAGTCAGACTCCTTCATACCACCTGCTTCCCATTAGAACTTGAACTCTTAAATGGCTTGCATGCTTTTACTAAGTTCTAACCCATCTTGTAAGCTGCTTTTTCCCCTTTAAGGCACCAGAAAGTTGATTTAATTAGACTTCTGTGAACATACTGTTTCTTATCAGTCAGCTGCCATACTAGGGCTTTTCTTCCTTAGTTTAATTCCTTTAGTTTTGTGACTTTTGCTGGGATGTTATGTTTTAACTCTATGTGAGTTGCTTGTGGATGATGCAGTAGTGCTATCAGCATCGCTGACTGAGCCGCTGCAGAAGTGACTCGACCTGTGAGAGCGGCACCTGTGGTGAAAGGGGTGCTCTGAAGCGCTGCCAGCGCTTGCGCCTGCCTAAGCACAGCCTCGTGTGCTGAAACCTTCACCGTTTAGCCTTGCAAGAATGGGAACTGGGAAGCAGGCCAAAACCCATCAAAAGCATATCTCCCAAGCACATCTGGAAGAGCTGCATTCAAAATGCAAGGAGTGGATCTCAGAATAAAATTTTTATAAGTATATGAACAGGAAGAGTGGTTTGGGGCAGAAGATGTGTCATCCAACTTCCTAGCCAAAAAGCTCAAGCCTAAAAGCTGAAATCTTCAGCCAAATAATGTCAGCTGAGAATCTAGCCCTTCTTTAGGTGAAATGTATTAATTCATAAAATGAACTCTTTAAGGGATTTTTCTTGTGCTTCAGACACAATTCCTTACCATCTTTAGTCTTTCATTAGAGGTTAAAATATTTATTCTATTACTTGCAAAAGGCAGACAGTCTGAGAATCTTGCAAGCTGAAACTAGCACACAAATGTAACACGCTGTGCCCTGCATTATTGCTTTACTCAATGTTAAAGGCCGTATTCTCAGAAATGCTGGTGTTTTCAGCCCTCAATGAGTTATGATGGAGGACAAGGACTTCTCCCCGGTCCAATTATGCTTGGCCGTATCAGAGATGCTGCATGACCTGTGTTACTCCACCTGTCTTCGGATATCCTCAGCTTCTCACCTGCTGCTCATTTATGCACATTTATCCATGTGCAATTCCTTTTGCTCTGGCTGTGCTGCTAAAAAAATATTGGAGGGAAAAAAAAAAGACTTTTTTGATTAAGATGGAGGGAATCCCATGAGCTGCTTTTGTGTTATGTTTTCAAATATGTAAATTCAATCTTCTATATTGTAGCTTCCAGCAGATGAAAAGAATGATTTTCAAAACGCTGTACTGTTAATAGATTTAGTGGAATTGTTCATCATAGGGGTGGAACTCTGAGGAATTTGGAGAGAGAAGGAAAACAAACAAACAATGGCTTATCTCGAAATCAAACTTTGTAAGATATGTTTGAATATGATTCAATGTTTCAGTACTATTTTGCATAGGAGGAAAATAACAGCTCTTGCTACATATATGTAATAGAAGCCATTTTAGTGGCATCAATGACTTAAAGTTGTAATAGATTAGAATATGGGAGTGCTTTAATCCCCAACTGCTTGGTTATATTTCAGATTGCATTCTGTGCAGCAAGCGCTCTTGTCTCTTACTGTGCTGTACACTGAGTTGTACTATACAAAAAGCAAGTAGAAAGCCAGTCACATTTTTTAGATACAGACTGACATGATAGGCCTAGTTGCAAACTTTGCTATATTATCAGAGATTGGCCTATTTCAATTTCAAATGCAGTTTGCAGACTCCTTCCCAGGAGATCAGTGAGAATTAGGACAGAAGATAGGCCAAACAGAATGCAAAGTGGCTTGGATCTGTAGGAGAGTTGTATATAAATTGAAATCTTTTGAAAATCTTTGCTGTACTGCAGGACTGTTGAGTTGAAGAAATAGTTGTATTTTTAAAATTTACAAGTGTTTGTGAACCTCACTGTCTCTCTGCATTTAACTCTCTGTTGCTTCTGTAGGTTTGACAACTCTCGTTAAAGGATTCTGAGCTGTTTGACTCTCACTATAATTAGCAAGGCTTTCATTTCTGGAAGTTCAGCACTTCAACCCAGGTCACGTTATTAATATAGCAGGTAATGTAATCGCGTGGAGGAGAATTCCAGATGTGTGAATATATGACTCTTAGCAACCAGGGATTTAGCTCAATGAGGTTATAAAATCTGAGCGACTCCAAACCAGAGCTGATGTTCTCAGCTTGTGGGTAGCTCCTTCTCCAGCCAGTACCAAATTGCAGTGTGTCAGGCTCCCGTGGTTTAGCGACCAGGCTGGGTTTGGAGTCTCGGGATGCAAACTGCTCTGTGTCAGCTTTGTAAACTGTAATGTGTTCAGATAGCCCTGGTGCAGCTGCGTGCAAGACGCTGTGTTTTTAGTTAAATGCTGAGATGATGGCTTTGGGATGAGGATTGACACTTAGACCCGGCAAACCATTGCAGCAGTTCAGCTGAAGAGTCTTCTGTGAAAACTGAATTCCAGTTAGCACTAGTGTAACTTGCAGTGTGTGTGTGTGTGTGTGTGTGTTTAAAACAAACAACCCCACACCCCACTCTCTTCTTAGCAAGCAGTTTTATCTAGTTGCCAGTTTAGTACAAAGAAATGCAAAG